AGAGAATTTGTCTACTTAAATTTGTAATCAGATTTAAATATTTAAGATGATTTGATTCATGAAGCAAGTTTTATTAGTGGCAAAAGTAGCATGTTAATGTTTAGAAAGAAAATTAATAATTGAGATTTAAAATGTGGGCATGAAAAGGTTCTCCTTACAATAAAAAGTCCTCGGTCATTTAAGATACTAAAAACAATGTTATTCTCTGATTTTTTCCCAATAAGAATTTTGCCCTAATCTTGCATAAAATATAGCTTCACTCTCCAAGACCTTAGCAAAGAATGAGAAGTAAAGAGATAAGGCAGACTCTGGTACATATTATAATTCCATTTACCTCTCTGATAAAATAAACATCAAAGTTCTTACTGGGAACCCATACAGGAAGTGTGTTTCCTTGTGTGGCCTCCTCGCAACATCAGTAAAAATAAAGTAGGTGTTTGATGCCTCTAACAAAGATTCAGGCACATTTTCTTACTTTACAGGGTTGACATTTTCAATATTTATCTTTAAAAGCAGTAGTGGGTCAGTCTGACATGGTTTTCAGAGCATTATAACTTGAATTTAGAGAATTTTCGAAGATGGCCTCTTGTTTACAGAACTGCCATGCCAGAAGAAGCAAACCTTTTGCGTAATGGTCCTGATCAATGTGTTAGCTACTCCACACAATATTCAATATTCCTACAAAAATGTCCCGGCACAACAAAGGCTTATAGACAGAGAGTGTTTTGGAGCCTCTTGTAATGGAATTTGATAAGAGCCAGACACTTTAGGCGGGCTCAATCAATGTTAATTGAAGCAGAAGTTATTCAAAGGGAAATAGGAGTCCTTGAAAGGTGAAAGAGGCCTTTAGGTTTGTGCCTCTCCTTTTCCCATTACCCCCTCATATTTAATTACTTGTTCTAGCCAGTGAATTATAATTGAATATGCCATCAGGTGACTCTGGCCCAGTCTCATGTTTGTCGAGTCTTTCATTTAAAGGAAAAATATCTCTTAACCTCTGGAGATGCTTGTTGCACAGGAAAGAAATTGTTCTCTGACAAGTGGGTCTCAGATTTATAAGCTCCCCTTTCCAGTTCCTAACATAGCAGAAGTATCAATAGAAGGACAAGGTGAGAAACTGTTTAGTCCTGAATGATACTGCTGTGTCTTCTCTGGGACATTATTATTTCTATAACTTTAATTCACTGGCGCTCCCTCAAAAAGCAGATCCTAATGTAAGAATTTATATGCAAATTAACTACTTGTTGGGGTGGTGCTCTCGGGAAATATTGGCTGAGAAGTGAGGGTATGAGACAAGGAAGAAAAGGCAGCCAACAAAACCAGGTTTATAAACCAGTTCCCACCATGAGCAACTAGAGTGTCACCTCCCTGGGGGACTCAGAACCAATGAAGAGCATGCCTCAGTCAGGCCACCCAAAGGGTGAGGGAGCTGGGGTATTTATAGACCAACTTCCTTCAGTCTTGGTTGAGGGCTAGTCTCAGAAGGGAGGAGAATAAAGACTCCGGCACTTCTGGCCTGAGATGCACAATGGTACCACAGCGAGAGAAAGGCCTTAGAAGTATGGACAAGGAGCCAGCTGGATCTGATACAATCTTCCTGCAGACATATAACTGCTTTAAACTCCTGCAGTCCTTCAACAGACATGATAATACCACCTTCTGGTCAAAGTGTTGGTGAGAAGTGAGAAGAGGTTATTTTCCTCTGACCTGAATTAGGGCCTTTGATACAGACTGTAGAAGCTAAGGTTAGGGTCAGCGTCATTTTGCTCAAGAATCTGATATTGTTTCGCCTTTAGTTGGCGCTCCCTCATTTACCCTTGAGATAGCTCTTGGGCTCAACATTCACATCCAGGGAGGGCTTCCCTGATTGTGATGCTAAATGGGAGTAGAATTCAGCTTAAGGCAGGCTGAACCTGGACTCCATTCAGATGTCTATTTTTATATTTAAAAATGCTAATTTTTAAGTAAAATCCTTACTTTTCACATTGATTTCAACTAGTTGACATACATATGCCAAGAGCTTAGACAATAATTGTAGAAGCAGACAGGAGAGGATGATAATTAATAGTCCCAAGTTATATGTAATGAAATTCCAAAGGTCAGGCTCAAAGTTAGAAGCTAGAAAAGCAGACAGGGACTGGGACCCGGGTGATGAAGCAGCTGAGCACAGTGAGAAAGAGCCCAAGCTTTGGAGACAGAAAGACTTGTTGCATCCCAGTCCTGACTCTCACCAACTGGGGGGCCTGTCCCGATTACCTAGCCATTTCATGTCTCATCCAGGTAATGAGAGTTAAGTGTACACACCTTATGCAATTGTTGTGACAATTAAATAAGCGAGTGCTTATAAAGTGTTTTGCTCAATAATCATCATAAACTAAGTACTTAATAATTATTACTTGTTACTGTGTTATTATTACTATTTTAATGACTTCAAGGCAGACAGTAGAAAATATTCTTCCTACTAGGCATGGCTCGAAGTCCAGGATTAATATTTGTGTGACTATAATACATCCTATGGCAATCAAAGAACAACTACTTCATATGCCACCCAATAGGAAATGAATTATTTTAACTCTTGTCTTTGCATCATATTTGGTCATCCCGAAATCTCAGGTGTGGTGGTAGAGAGTGCTGGAATTTTCTCAAAAGTGCTTTGTACTAAAGTGGCAGATACAGTCTGAAAGGCCCAGATGGTTCTAATGCTACCCCACGGTGAATAAGACCTCTTCATCAGAATTTACAGAGAGACTCCCCTGGCCTCTGATGGCATAGACTCAATGTTGTAAATAGGCATGAAATGCATCTATGTGTGTGGTAAATTTCACTTTCTATAAAAGCAATAGTGTCATTTCTGTGAAGGAGGTAAAACATCTGCCCAATTCCATAGGAGGAATTAAAGTATCTGGCTATGTGGCCAAAGTAGGGAATGGCAGATTCCCTTCCCCTGACTTCTGTCCCATGAATCTTCATTTTTTTTTTTTCCTTAATGGCTTTAAGCTGGAGGCCTAAGAAGCTACTCAGAGGTTACTCAGTGTTTTTAATCAAAGCTCAACTATAAGAAATTAAAATGTACTTTCAATTCTTTATTCACAAATAACAATTTACTGAGTGCTGCCACATCCCAGTGTGTTTAACAATGTGTAAACTGCCGTCCATGTGCTATTCTTTTATAGGCACTTATCACCATAACTACAGAAAGCGTCATTATCCCCATTTTATATATGCAGAAATTGAGGTTCAGAGAGTTTGTGGCTTGTCCTAGAATCTCAGAAAAATCAGAGGGGATTACAGTAACATACGAGCCTAAAAGGGTCATGCCATGACTAAAGACTTCTAGAGTTGACAATAATATGAGGAGTAGAGAAGCTGACCACGCACACCGCCCCCCACTTGTAAACAACACGTAGCTCTGGTAACATCTCTGAAGAGCAATAAGGTGGCATCTAGCTGAGATCTTTAGCAAGTCAACCACTTGTAGGTCTGCCCTGGACTTTCTTACGAAGCCTCCGAGGACACAGTATTACAGGAAATTGACAGAGACCTTGTTGCTGAGTAAGCTGAAGGTGTTTTATTACAAGGCAGGCACAGTTACAGAACGTAAGTCATAAATACCACAGTTTCTGTAAACCCAAACGCAGAAGCATGCCCTCTTCTCTAATTCCTCCAAGATGAGCAGATCCACAGACAGACCTGAGCAACACTGTTGATGAGGTCAGTTGATCTCCAATTTCTGCTTTGCCTTAGAAAATGGCATTTCAAAACCATCCAGTTACTGTCAGTTAGCTTCCATTCAGGGTATTTAAAGCCACTTTTGATATTTAATTTCTCCCCCATTCTAGCTGCAGGATCAAACAGGAATTAAATTTCAACCTATAAGGTTTGTGTTTCTTTGTAGCGTAACATATATATTAAATAGTGTGCAAGCACCCCAGGTATAATGTATGTTTGATTATATTTCAACTCCAAGCGATATCACATTGAGATCACTCCAGAGGCTAAGCAAATGTGACTCAGGCTATTACCTGGATCCAGACTTAAAAAAAAGAAAGCAAGACAAAAAAAATGTATTCTTAATCTAAGGATCAGTACTACACAAATCAAACCACACAGCCCCATTTACGAGGTAACCGGGGATTGCAATGCAGAAAATCCCTGGTGACAGAATTTGGTCATAAACAAGCCTAATGTCAGCAATAGAATTATACTTTCTAAAGTAATTCTTTTCTTACAATTCCCAGAGCCAAGAGAAGAAAAAGAAAAGACAGGGGGAATAAAAAAAAAGAAGAAGAAAGAAAGCCAACCAATCAAAAGCATCCAGAACTGTGTGTTATGCAGATGATAGCAAAGCAAAGACAGTCCAATCCAGAACCATAGCCCAGAGAGCTTCATCTGAAGGGGTGCTGGGCTTGAGCTCCACTCTGGGTGCTTCTTGGGTCCAGCTGCTGTGTTTCTTTCCTGGGAACCAGTAGCATCTTCCTTGCTGTCTTTCAGTAGCTCCCCAGGACACCTGAGGAGGTGGTCTGTCCTCTGGCCAAAAAGTGGAGCCTATGAAAGGACATATAGGAGAAAGCCCATCAGGCCTGGGCCCCAACCAGCTGATAGCTAAAGGTCGACGGAGTCAAGGGCAGAGGGAAGAGTGATGTTTCCTCACCTCCTCCAGGCTCGCTTCCTGTCGTCTCTCCAGAACGGTGGCTTTATGCTTGGAGCAGCCAGTGGCTTGGAATCTTTGAGATCTTGTAGTGAGAGCGCATTGGGGTACCCATCACCTTTCAGTCCATGATATCTCTGTTGACAAGAACATAAAATAAATACCTCTGCATCACTGGTCTATGGAATCTTGAGGAGAAGGAGGCACGACAGAGTAATACAGACGCACAGAAAGGAGGGAAGGGAGGACGAGAGGAAATAAAACTCAGAAAGGATACTCTACCTGCTACCTTTCCCTGGAATTCCCCCAGGCAGTCGTATCCTGGATGGGAGGCTTGAGGTGACTTCTAAGACCACCCTGAGGTCTCAAAGGTCTGAAAGGTGAGGAAGCATCATTCCACTGCCATGCGGGCACCGGACCTCATAACTCAGCTCCTTGAGAACCTCAGCCAGCCTCGCCCAACTCTCCTGAGTGGGTCCTGTCACTGAAATACTACATAACAGAGAGCAAAATGCAGTTGAAAATTAGCAGGAGATCTTCTTTCTCCTTTGCCCTGGGGTGGTAGTCAGAGGGGAGGGCTGGGGGCTGGGGTAGGAGGGGTATCAACGACCACCTGGTCTTCTCTTCAGTGATTTCAATCTTCAACTTCAAACTCTCAACTTCCCACCAAGAGAAAAATCTCTAGGAAGATTCCTCCAGGCCCATGGTCCATGCCCTTTGGGTCAATCTAGCATTGCTGGTTGGCTCTAAAGCATCATTCGAATCCTGGAGAAGGTTTCTATCCCAGTCGGGCTGCCTGGAGTAGAACTCCAGAAATGGAGTGTGACAGACACCTGGCTCCACTTCTGACCCTCCTTTCCCCAAACTCATGGAAGACCCAGGGCTGCTCTTTGTCCTTCACAGAACCTGTCTTTCCAGAGCTTGGGATGGGTAGCATACTAGTGAAGAACACAGACTGAGAATCAGAGGAGATTGCAGTGCCTCTAAGAGGGGCAGAGAGAGAAAGGCATTTGAGAGAAACTTATCCCAACAAAGCCAGCTACCAGTGGCGTACCAATGGGTAGGGGCTGGTGAGAGTGGTCTGTCCTGGGCACACATAATAAATAAAGCGTGCACATTGTCTTAAAAGCAATAAAAAAAAAAATACTAAGAATTAAAAACTCAGTCTGCCTTTTTTTACTATGACCATGCACTGGCAATTCTAAGCAATGTTAGTGACAAAACACTCCTTCCCACCCAGGCAGATCCACCTACTTGGCCCATATTGCAAAGACTCATGGTATCCTAGTCCTGCCGGAGACTTTGTTTGTGCTACTCCCTCTGCCTGAAATCTTCTTCCCCCAATGTCACATTCCCACATCCTACCCATGTCCAAGCTCCTTTTCGAATGCTACCTCTTCAAAGGAGGCTTTCGTGACCCTCTCGGCTAGGAGTAATCTCTTCTTTCTCTTAACATCTAGGCAGTGTATCTATATTCTTTTACCTCTACAAAAGTGCAAAAGTGGTATCCTCCCTATTAATAGATATCAACATGACATGTATGGGATTTGGAATTGGGCCTCAGAATCCCAGCTCCCACCCTGAACTAGCTGCGTGATGCTCAGCTAGTTTTAATAATCTCTTTAGGTTTTTTCCACATCTATAAAATGAGAATATTACCTATGTCGTAGGCACATTAAATTAGATAATGCACATAAGTTATCTAGCCCAAGGTAATGTACATGCTACAGTTATTTATTTTTCTACTTTCTTCTTAAGAGTAGAATCTTATTCTTTCATCTTTGTTCTGCTCTCCCTACTCCTGCAGGACTTATCAAGATAAACCATAAATGTGGAGGGTATAGAAATGTGAGGATATTAAAAATGAAGGTAGAGAATACCTACCACATGGGCCTGTTTGGAGAATTAAATGAGGGAGTATGTGTTATGTTCTTGGATCAGAACCTGATGCACAGTATGAGTTCCGGGAATGTATGTTAAATAAAGTAATCGTGTGAACTAATGCAGGATTCCTTGACTCCATTAAGCACTCCAAATGCAGATTATCAAGATACTCTTTACTCTGCTTTAAACTCCTTTCCATCTTCCCCAAATAAAAACATCAGGGTGTAGATGGAGATGGTAGAGTGTTTAGAAGGTTCCCTAGGGTTAGAGCTAAGAGACCTTTTCCCCTTTAGGTAACACATACTGAGAACTCATGAGGTTCCAGATACTGTGCTAAAAACTTTACAAATAGTCTTATTTAACTTCCATCCAAGTGCTATGAGAGCTGCCTTGATTACCCCTATTTTACAGATCCGACAACTGAGGTACAGAGAGGCTAAGTAATCTGCCCCTGAGTGTACAACTAGTAAAGTGTTGAGCTAGGTTTGTTAACTAAGTTTTAGAGCCATGCTCTCATTCACATTGCATCTAGTGCAGAACTTTCCGCAAGAATGGACATGTTCTAATATGACACTCACTAGCGACGTGTAGCTATTGAGCTCTTGAAATGTGGCTAGTGAGACCAAAGAACGGAATTTTAAATTTTACTTAATTTTAATTAAATAGCCACACATGTCCAGTGGCTGCCATATTGGACACTTCAGGACTATCATATCTTAAAGTACACCCCTCATTTTGATGTTGGGGATGGCATGATTTTTGCCCACAGTATGAAGTCACCACAGAACCTTCAAAGGAGGGAGCAGGGCTATGCTAATTATAGAGCTTAAGCTTTGGAGAAAGATATACTCGAGTTTGAAATCCAGATTTTGTCATTCACTAGCTGTGTCTATTAGTAAACTTCTCTGTGTATCTAATGGCTTTTCAGTAAATGAAGTATAATAATACCATTTTTAGGGTCAATGTGATCATCAAGTAATAAAGCAAATGAGAGAGTGCTTAGCGCACCCTTGGTACAGTTTAAGGTGAAGTTGTGGATAACGTACACAGCGCTTAGAAGTCCTTTCTCCATGCCTGGTGAGAGAGCAGAAGAGTGAGAGGGAAAGTAATAATATAAATAGGGCAGGGGTGAGGTTTTCCACCTGCATTCTACTCAGTATGCATGTGTGTGCCACAGAATAAGCATGAAATGAGAGACGCAAATCTGTTTTCTCAATAGACTCTGAGTCCTAGTGTGTGACACTAGTGTTTACATGTGATTTTCCCTTAATGCCCTGACTTTGGAACTTAATCACCACTCCACCCCAGGCTAAATAAGGGCTCTTAATGTTATTCCTCCCTGAACCAAATTCTTATGTACAGGCTATTATTATGGTTATTTCAATAACTGAGGAACAACACTCCTTATCCCAGCCAGCTGTTGCATACATGCTTGTTCTTGCTAGCCCACTCAAATGGGCACCTTTCCCTCCCCCACCCCCTCTCTTTCTCTCTCTTATGGACATGTGTATGCTCTCTCTCTGTTAGTTTATATCTTAATTATCTCTTGCCTTTTTAGAGGTTTTGTGGAGAGGACTCTCCAGATTACACTTCTGCAGGTAGGGGGTGCTACCTCCTGACTGGAGGCAGGAGCGGGAGGGGTAACTGGCTCCTTATTCGCTTTTCATTCTGTCAGAATGGCCCCAGAGACAACTCTTCACCCTGGGAGCAGCAACTGGCTCCAGTAAGAACAAGTGACTCCACTTTGCAGTCTCTCTACACTCCCAGCATCAGTTTCTCCAACATAGCCAGCTGCCCAGTGCATCCTCCTTGGAGGTCTAGGATCCCTCTCTGCAAGGACTATCATCCAAGTATTTATGTTTTCATTATTCTGACTTCTTCCCTTTGTTCTCCCAGCCCTAAAGGTATAGCTGCATCCTACAATTTACTACCTCTGTGAACCTCAGTACCTTTTTGTACCTCTTGGATTGTCCAATACCTGGTTAACCAGTGATAGAGTTCAGGACATGCTACCTCTCAAATATGCCACTTTTGCATATTGAATACTTTAAGCTGAAAGAGTCTGAGAAAACAGCAGAAGCAGAAAGCTCACTCTGACCTCTTCTTCCTGTCACCCTTTTACTTTGAAATAGGCCATAAGAGCCTCATGTGAGAGGTGCTCTCCCTATACCCAGACAAAAGGAGCATCCTTATCTCCAAAGACAAAGGGACCCCAAGAAGAATCCTAACAGGACTTGCCAAGTTTCCCCCAGGTTACTACACTAGCTCAGACTATTCCTCCATGACTGCCCACTCTTTATCATACTTCACATAACATTACACAGGTCTTTGCTTCCTTATGAAGGCTCCATGACACATAAAATTTATATTAACTGAACCTGTATGTTTTTTTGTCAGTTTAATTTTCAGGCCCAGCCAGGGACCTTAAAAAGGTTAAAGAAAACCTTTTCCTCCGCTACATAAGTTTTTACACTAATTCTTATTAAAGTAACTTGCGTAGCTACAGGCTCTAACTTAATATACTCTTTCCTCTTCCATGGACAAACTCTGTTTCTGTGTATATAAGAATGTATGAGCATGTCCTATATGTTTTTCCCAGATAAAAGCTATCAATAAATGATCAACAGATCCTGATAGTTCTATTATAGATCTCCTTTGCCCGGTATCTAAAGGCAGGATAGAAAAAAGAAATAGAGCACATCAAATCATATACTTTGATATGTTAGAGAGTAATTAACCTCTGAGCTCATTCCTGGGCACATCTGCCAGGGCGGCTAAATGTCAGGTAAACACATGGACGTTTCCAATAACAAAGATCAGCACGTGGGAGTCCTTTCAAGGTCATTTGCTAAAGCCTAGGGTGCAGGACTTCTGTAGCAATATAGCAACAAGTAACTATGTCAGATGAATACGTTCTCTGTGGTGCTGCAACCTTTGATAGTCTTAAATTTCTCTACTGCCAGTTCTCTAGAGAAGGTACATAATACAACACAACACAATACAATACAATACAATACAATCCACTTTAGAGGTACCGACTATGTCCACTCCTACCCGCACTCCCCTAATGTCATCAGTCTTATCCTTTGCAAATACAGTGGGAGACCCAGGATGAAATCCTCGCTGCTTCTTGGTTGCCATCTGCCTCTTCAATCCAGACAAGTTGAAGGAAGGACATGTTGATCCATAGTATCTCCAATCACATTCAGTTCTCACTCTTCTGAAATCATTCTTGTGGATGAACCAGGACTTC